GAAATAGCTTAATATTTTTGGTATCTTCTGTTCTTCCTTTCTTTCTTCATTAGATAAAATATATTCACCTGATGCCTCTCTCAGCAAGGCACAATACTTGGTATCCAATGTTCTAAAATATACAAGAATTACCAAGAGCAAAGAAATCTCTCTCTCTCTCTCTCTCTCTCTCTCTCTCTCTCTTCCTGCTGGTACTGGAGATTGAATCCAGGGGTGCTTCACCACTGAGCTACATCCCAGCCTTTTCATTTTGAGACAGGGTCTCTCACTAAGTTGCTGAAGCTGGCCTCAAACTTGTGATCATCTTGCCTCAGTCTCCCAAGTTTCTGGGGTTACAGGTGTATACCACTGAGCCTAGCAAGAATGTCTCTTTGCTGCTGATTGAATAAACTCTGTGTCTATGCAAAGAAACAATTTAAAATAAATGCTAAGTGAATTATTTTATTTCTCAAGTCTGTACCTTCTCTCAATAAGTGAGATCAATAATCCCTTGATTGGACCAGACAGAAATCTCAAGATCCTCTGTGGCTCCTTCCTCCCCTTTGTCCACCATAAAAGAGTAGACCATACCTCTGAAACCACTCTGATCCACAGTCCACTTCTCTCCCCTCCACAGCCTCTACCAAGAGTCCAGTTCAAATATGGACTCCTGCTGTGGCTTCCTAATTCTTCGGGCCATAGTTTTCTTCCTCCGGGTCCGTTCTCTAATCTGTGGTCTTTGCTCTTTCTAAGATGCAGACCTTACAATTTCACTTCCTTCCATAGGCCCAATTTCACCTCCTCAACCACGCTGAAATGTTTCTGAAGAGACCAGCCTTTCTGCCTTAGGCACATTAGCCAGATCCAGAACCATTCCTAGGAGAAGCCTGAAGATCCTGTTGACAAGGCATCCCCAGCCCCTTAGATAATAACAGTCATGACCAACACTACTCAGTAGACTGTTCCAAGTGCTTTAGGGGTAGTAAATCTTTTTACAAAATCAACAATAATAAATACTGCTGCCATTTATTGAGAGCCTCCTTTATATCCAAGCATAATATATCCATTAGTTACCTCAGAGCACCCGCAGGGTAGGCATTACTGTCTCCACCGGGAAAATGAGGAGAGAAAGAACTCGGTTTGCCTGAGGTCAGTCAAATGGTAAGGAACAAGGTGTGAATCAACCTGGGTTCTGCCTGCCTGCTCTCCACTCACCACCAGCATGGGATGCCTCACTGCACCCCGGAAGGCACAGATGCCACACCTGCAGTAGTGATGTATGTGCAAATTAACTGTAGCCACCTCAAGCAGGCTGTTTTGACTTATTACTTATTACTTGGAAGGGAACAGGGGCTGACACTCAGTCAACGTGTGTGGCTGCTTTAGTCTAAAGACAGCAGGTTCAGGAGTCCTACAACTTGTAGACTCAAAGGGTCAGGAGCATGGAAAAATTTCTTATACTTCCTTTCTTTAAAAAGCTTTCTGGTGACTGCTTACACTCCTCAGAGGGGAAAGAAAACCCAGCAAATGGTGGGGGTTCAGAGAACTGTGTTAGCCCACAATGTCTGAAGGAGAAATTCTCATTCACAGAGCTTGATTAACCACAGACTGATATTTTAGGAGGAAGTAGGCTAAGAAAAATCTGCAACCCTGGCCTGTCATATGCTTAGTTTGTGAAAGAAAACCAGAGAAAGAGCTTACGATTTCTTTAAATGGAAAAACCCAAATGGAAAAAAGCCCCCAGATGTTTTGTCTGAGTAAGTCCTCAGTGTATGTCATGGGGTGGATGCAATTTCTTTAGGCGCTGAATGAATCCTTACCTGTTTGTGCAAAGAAGGTTTCCTTGTCCTCTCCATTCATCCTTGGGTCCAGAGGAGATGGGAAGAGGAAGGAAGGGAGGTCTGTGGGCATGGCCCACTGGCACCCTTGCTAAGAGGAGAAAAAGTTTGTTGGGAGCTCTGCTTGGTCACGTGCTGGTCGGCTGAGTCATCCTGGACCTATCAAGAGAGACAGCACTTCCGTCAGTAGGCTGGGTGGCTGGAGGGCAGGTCCCTGTGGCCTCAGGCTGCTCTGGGGGGGAGGGGGGCAGTCGGGCCTTCCTTTCATAAGAAGCTAATTAGATGCAATTTTTGCTTTGGCTCTTCTTGGTGTTACCAGATAAGCCCAGCTGCTAGCTCCCTACTTCTCAAGCAATCTAATAGGCTACTCAAACCAACCAGTGATATTATCCCAGGGTTAGGTAGTAACTAGCAAAGGGTGGTAGAAAGCAAAGGGTAGTAGTTCATTCATAAAATAAATAAATAAGCAGAAGCAAAGGAGCTAATGGGAAAACATGTCAAGAGAAAAGAATTTATGGGATAAACTTGGCAGGGTCCATTGATGTTGATGTGGAGCTAGGAATTACGGCCAGAGTCGTCTCTATTTATCTGGGAAGGAAGATTCCTTTAACAGCACACTAAGGTAACTTCTGACCAGCTATTGACCCCAGTGTCACGAGCAGCTTCTCAGCCTTGTCTGGTTACCAGGAGTTCCCTTCCGGATATCTGCACTGGACCCCGGACCACGACGTACGCGAACACCAAGCACGAACTCGGTTGCCTTTTGAAATGCTGGTTTATTCGCACACCACACAAAGCAATACACGAGGTGGCTGGCACACAACTGCACGATCTTACTCTCAGGCGACGAGAGTTGGTTGTGAGCAAATACATGGAGTTTCCCTCGCGCTTATATACTCTATCAAACTTGTTTATGTCTAACTTATCTAACATAAGCACACTACCTAGTTACATCATCAACTTATCTAACATGGGCATACTATCTAGTCATCCTATAACCAAAACATGTTTACAACTAAAAAGTCACTTAGTCACTGCAAAGTCCAAAACAAGTCCAAAACAAGTCCTTTTGCTGATTCATGTTGTTTATTCATCCTTGATGTTTACTCCTGTCACCCAGCGCCCACTTTAACATGGGATTGACTTGTAGATGAAGCACCCCTTATTACATGTAGAAAATGACAAACCCCAAAAGTAGTGAGACCTGGGAAAAGGGGAGTAAGAAGGAAAGCCATACATTGAGAGCACTGATCCTTTCCCAGTACATTCTTTCCCGGTGAATAAAACAAACCCTGAGGAAGAAGTGTCCGTCAAACCTGGAAAGGCAGTCTTTGGGAAGAGATCAAAGCATTAATCCTTCTGTTACTGCTGTTTACCTGTGATGAGTCCTTGCTTCCCCAAATGCTGAAGTATAACACCAGAGAAGCATGCCGAGGCAAGTGTAGAGTGGAAAATAGAAGCTTATTAAAGGACAGCAGAAAAGACTTCTCCCCAGAGGAAAAAGGGGACCCAAAAGTTGGAATCCGTGGAAGGGGGAGGTCTTCCCTTTTTTATAGCTAAAGTCTTCTTTCAGCTTCCCCACACTCCTGTCCTTTGTTTTCTGTTATCTTGCAGTGATAGAATGCAGGTGGGAAGGCCAAAAGGTCCGGGGAATAGGTGGGCTGGAGGAGTAATCTGGGCAGAAAGGGCCTGGGGCGGCTTTTGGATTAGCACCTCCCAGTTTGCTGGGAGCTGCTTCATTAACATTTCCTTAGGAAGGGCTCCAGGGCCTTGGGGACATTAACATTTCAACTTCCCCAAGTGCTGCTCTGCTTTCCTGGACTACATTCTCAATAATGGCCTCCATTTTGTTTATCTTACTTATATTAGACTCGATTTACCTAACTAGCTTTAAATCTGGCTTCACTTCTGTAAAAACTTCTTTCCAAATACCAACCACTGACCCCTGGCTCTCCATCAGGCCAGTAAGATAAATCCCAGAAACTGACCACTGACCCTAGACTCCCTCCCATTTTGCTCTGTAAAAAAGACCCCAAATTCCTAAGCACTAAAACTGACCCCTTCACTGATTGATAGAACAAACTCCAAATTCCTGGGCGCCCAAAGAAAACTGATATGCTCACTAGACCACCTCTCAGAATAACCTATAGAAGCCCAGGCCCTTTCTTTTTTTCAGGGGCTCATTTTCTACCAGGAAAGTGGGTCCCACCATGGCGTCATTTCGTCCCTGCATCCCCTGCCCCTGTGTGAAACTTCATTCCTGAATAAAGCTCTGAGCTGATTTGTGAAGTTTGCATTTGTCCTGATCTTTCTGCACTAACACCCCTAAATAGCATAGCCACCAAGACAGTTCCAGAGAAGAGCAAGTAAAGTCAAAAACTCCACTTCCTGAAGTGAAGGAGGAGTTGAACACCTGATTGGCAAAGAGTATAGAAGGTGATTCCAGTTGTCCCAGTAAACATCAAACAGTAATAAACTTGGAGACAGCATTGTCTCCTTTGTCATTGTCTGCTCAGAGTCATCCCCTCCCCCCTTCCTTCCCCCCTTCCCTCCCCCTCCCTCCCTCTTCCCCCCCCCCCCACCTCTCTCTCTCTGTCTCTCCTGCTCTCTGCTTAACCCTCTATAATAAAGTTATCTTGCATGGCTCTTGGTGTCTGACTTTAAAATTTCTTTTATCAGAACATAAGAACCAAGCTTTAGAGTTTCACTCCCTGTTTTCCTGTGACACCAGCAATTTATTTTCCATATTTGGGGAAAAAGTACCTAAGCTAATTTAGCTCTTCGTCTATCACTTTCAAGCCAAAGCCCCTTTGTTTTCAGGTGCTTTGACTATGGGGTTCCACCTAGGTCCAGTAGAGACCACCGTGGTAACTCTATGTGCACTCTCCTAATAATAATTTGGAATTATCTAATAATTTGCTAGCAACCCCTTCAAAGTCCCTTCCAACCTGTGCAGTGAGGCATTTGCTTCTGATGCCAGCAAAGTTGGTTCCAGCTTTGGTTGAATGACAGACTGTCAAAATTCCTGGTCATTCAAGGCCAAACCACTTAGGAGGACAGACGCTGGTTAAGCCATCTAGTCACCATTTATGTGTTTTGGGGGTGTTGGTGTTTTAGGGAACAGTGGAACTAGAGCAGCACCCTAACTACACTCAGATCTGTTTCTTGGTTTTCTTTTCCAAGGTTGGTCCTTAATACCTGGGACTTTTTAATTGATGAATTCATATAAAAGAGGCTGAAGAAAGTGGAAGAAACTCCTGCTTGTCCCCAGAAGATTGAAGGAATTGCCAAGGAGGGAGATGCAGAACAAAACCACCAGGCCCTGTAATGCCAGATTCGTGGGACCCCAATAGACCTCCAGGAGCCGAATCCGATGCAATCACACAAGAGTCTTTATTGCAAGCTTTATTGAGCCTGGACTCACAACCATTCTGGATGCAGCGGTCCCAGGGAATGAGTCCTGGTCCTTTGTTCAGTGAGATTTTATAGGTTTGGGGGGGATACTCTAAGGGTCACAACATGTCACAGCAAATCATTTCACACCGCAGGAAAGTCAAACGACAACTCTTAACATTGATTAGCACATTCACTGGTGGGAACAAGTTGGGTAGGGGTGATTGGTTAGTACAAGAGGGGGATTCCTTTGAACTGATTGGTTTAAGCCACGAGGGGAGTATGTGCTGAACTACATAGTTTCCCAACATGTTATCAACCACCATAAACTACTTGGGGGTCATCTGGCATCCCAGGTATTTTTCCTGTCTCATGCCGATTGGTGGTTGCTAGGGGTTGCTATAGGTCCTCACCTAGCCTAACTGAGTCAGGGACACCTGGCACCGCAGATCTCTACTGTTATTTGCAGACAAACAACTCAGCAAGGTGGGTATATGCCTAGGAGTACTCTGTGGGTTTTTCCAAGGACAAGGGTCACTCCCCTTTCCTTGGACAGGCTTTGCTCTGAGGTAGAGGCTGGTTTCTCAAAAATGGAGTCACATCAGTTTCTCATCCCCCCCTTTGTCTGGAAACTTGGGGACCAATCATGGTTCCCTCAGTTGGAGGTTTATTTGGGCAGGCCCTACATCTTGGTAAACAGTCCCCCTCAGGGGACAGTCTTCACTTCCCAGACTCACTCAAAATTGACCTCCTAGATCCGACCTGACTCAATTTACCTATTTACACTGACTGTCTATCTATTTCTGGCTTCAGCCCCAAGCCAGCTGTAGACCATATTATGCTCATATCCACTGAGTGCTGCCCATAGTCCTTCTTGCTTTTTCCTCCCACCTTCCCTTTCTCCCCCTTCCCCTTCCTTCATTCCTTTCCTCCTTTTCATAAAATCAAAACAAAAACTATTGGATAAATTAGTTTATGTTTACAGTATCTACATATAACTTCAATTACAAGGAAAATCAAGTAGTTAGGAGATTAACTAAGTTAGGATGTTCCGATTCTTTTATGGGAAGATTCACTGTGTGAATAGCATTTTTTTTTTTTTGCTAAATTAGAAAGAAATGATATGGTTATGATCCATCTGTAGGAATCAGGTTATTTGCATTTGCAGAAAATCAGGGAGGCAAATTTGGAGGAGCAATTAAGATTCACCTAGAACCTCTTCTATATGCCCGACTGCCTTCTCTGGACAGTAGGCGGTGGCAGATTTGGAAAACTAGGACTAGGAAAAAATCCAGAGCATAAATACCCTAAGAACACCAGACCAGGAGTTTCAAAGGCAAATAATGATTGTGGGACCAGATAGGAGATGTCAATGAGTAAATGTCCAGTAACTATTCTTGGTAACTATATTCATTTTGCATATTAAACATGGAAGATTGTCCTAACTTCTTCCAAGAATTGTATTTTTTTCCTGAAATTCTTTTTTCTTTTTTTTTTTTTTTAAAGACAGAGAGAGAGAGAGAGAGAGAGAGAGAGAGAGAGAGAATTTTAATATTTATTTTTTAGTTTTCGGCAGACACAACATCTTTGTTTGTATGTGGTGCTAAGGATCGAACCCGGGCCGCACGCATGCCAGGTGAACGCGCTACCACTTGAGCCACTCTTGAAATTCTTAAAGCTCTCATTATATCTCTTCTTTGGCCACTTCTTATATATACATGGGAAAAGAAAAATGTTTCTCTACTATAAGGAAGAAACAGAAATGAGAGCATGGTGGTAGTAAGTGAAAATATATAATCATCTTCAGTGTTGGAGACAATAGGGGAAGGTGAGGATTGTGGAAAACTGGAGAATGCATGTGCCAATTAAGTGGACAGTAGCCATTCTCTTTTGGCAGATTACTTCTTGAGGAAGTATTGATACTGGTGTGGGGGGGAACCTAATTATACCCTTTAGTTTCACTTGTTCTTTTTTTTTTTAAAAGAGAGAGAGAGAGAGAGAGAGAGAGAGAGAATTTTTTTAATATTTATTTTTTAGTTTTTTTCAGCGGACACAACATCTCTGTTTGTATGTGGTGCTGAGGATCCAACCCAGGCCGCACGCATACCAGAAGAGCGTGCTACCGCTTGAGCCACATCCCCAGCCCTCACTTGTTCTTAGTTGACTTAGAAATCACTAAGTTTGGAGGCCAAACAGCTGGACAAGGCATTATTAGTCTCTCACTGACCTTGCTGTAGATAATACCTCCGGCATGTGGTTCATGATAATAATATTTGCGTAAGTACTAACTTAGGAACTTTAGGACTTGAAGACTGCTTTTGCTGAAAACACTGACTCTTCATTTGGACCTGCTGATGTCTGATTGGAATGGGATAAAAAGGAATCTCTGCCTTCACATTCTGTCTCCTTTGTGCCTATGATGGGTTGGAGTCTACTCAGCTCTTCATGTGGACATGTTGGACATTTGAGAAATGTTTTGTCCAAAACTATAATATAGAGATAATTGGTCCTAGATTTGTTTAGTCTCTCTCTCCTCCCTCTAGGGCTAAAGACACCTACCAACAGCCATTATTGGAAGTATAAGACCATGAAAGGAGTGAAAAGAGGTGGCACTTGAGTTTCTGGAATGTCTCCACCTATTCCCAGAAAAGACAAGAGGATTCCTCCCATGCATCAGCCTTTCTCTCTCCCTCATCATTCCTGCATCTGTGGGATGAGCTTCTGAACCTAGGTTTTGTAACAATACGTCTTCAATACTGTCAGATATTCCAATATTTCAGAAGAAAAAGCTGGATATATAGATTTTATGAACTATATCCTGATTTTTAAATATTGGTGCAACACACACACACACACACACACACAAACACCACACGGGTAAAATCAAACAGCTTTGTGGCTTTGCACTTATTGGGTTACACTCGAGCTAGACAGTAAAGGTGTCCAATTTAAGCAAATATTTGGGAATCAGGGACCACATAGCATCAGATCAAAGTGGGGCAGTGGGTAGAAGACAGGCAGGTAGTGAGGTGCAGAGGCTATAAAAGGGGGAGCAGTGGAGAAATCTGAACCCATCTTTGCCTCAGGAACAGGCTTTTTCTTCTAGCTGGAAGAAAACAAGCAATGGTTTCCCGGGCAACGTCCGGTCTGGCACAGTCTGGAAGCTCACGTGTTTTGGCAATGCTGCATCATTTCTTGATGGGCAGGTTTTGGCACGATTCCCCAGAGACTGCCAATCCAGGAATGGGAGCGGAGATGGTCTCAACTCCCTATTGCAGCACATTTCAACCCTTCTTTTAAGTGCAAAGAGTTCTTAATGAGTTCTCCTGGTCTTTATGTTTGTAACATCTTGGAATCAGGTTCTCAAAACCTAAATGCCTCATAAGTATCTTTTAGGTGTTGTTTATATTTTATCTGTGGTGCTTATGGTGGATGAATATAGATAATTGGATACTTGTAACACCAATATATTGATACAATAATTGATCTGAGTGGCTGCTTTCAGGTAGATGCTCAGGTTTATATAGATTACTCCTCAAAGACAAATTTAAAGATATCTGTTTCCTGGCTGGGGTTGGGGCTCAGTGGTAGCGCTCGCCTAGCATGTATGAGGCCCTGGGTTCGATCCTCAGACCACATAAAAATAAAGAAACAAAATAAAGGTATATATATATATATATATATATATATATATATATATATATGCTTCCTGCTACTAAGGCGTCTCAAGAGGGAGGATCACTTGAGCCTAAGAGTTCATGGGCAGGTTGGGCAACCTAGCACATTCTTATCTCAAAACACAACACAAAACAACAACAAAAAGAACCCAAACAAACAAACAACCCCCCCCCCAACAAATTTGCTTCCTTTGCTAAAGAATAATGATAATAAAATAGTGTTAGGGCAGTGCCAATAACTACCCTGTCTAAAAACCTTCTTTAGGGGTCCAGGTTGAAAGACCAGTCACCTTGATCATAACCACCGTCTTGCCTGCCAGGTGACCCTGGCATACAACACAAACCCTACAGGGCAAACAAAGTCATTAATGTGGTCAGCTGTGCATGTGGTACCTGTCACCGAGGCCACACAGTTTCTTTTCATTGTGCAGTCCTGGATATCTGCCTACCTCTTTCTTGTCTCTTAGCCCCTTCCACATCTGGTGACAAGTTCTCAAACATTAGGACCAGGGTTTTCTATAACACTTTTCATACAACTTCAAACAAATCAGTGTTTTCTAGAATACTGGGGAAATAGAATTTAAGTCAACAATCGACCTTTCAATCCATATCACACATGTCTGGTTTTGTTCAACTGTCTTAATTTTTCTACTTACTTTTCAATGAGCTCAACTGTCATGGATCAGGTTATTGGTCTGATACAGCAGTGGAATGCTGTGGGCACATTATATCTTGACAGCAGCCAGGCATTTGGCAAAGCCTTAGCATTATAGATAAGATGAAGACATTTGCATAGACTAGATAAGAGCACATGTCAGTGTGATCAGAGTCATCCATATTCAGCATATCATTCAACGTTTACTCAGCAAATATTTATTGGATATTTATAGACTAGCACTGCTCTAGGTTCTGAGAAGAGGAACAAAAAATGTTTCTTATTTATTTATTTTTTTTGTAGAAGGTATCGGCAAGAAAATAGAAGCTTTAAATCAGGGACACACACACACACACACATACTTTTTAAGAAGGTAACTGTAGTCTTGACTGGAGAATAGATTGTTTATTCACCCAAAGCGCATATTGCAATATTAAAATAATTTCAGAATCTCATAGGTGAAACATGGCATATCACTATAGAGGATGATACACCTAAACATTAATTTTATATTTTTAGAACAATTTTAAGTTTACAGAAAAATTGAGCAGAAAGTACAGAGTTCTAATATACCTGCATTAGTCGGCTTTTTGTTGTGTGACAAAATACCTGGGAAAACCAACTTAAAGGAGGAAAGACTTATTTTGGCTTGTGGTTTCAGTCCATAATCACTTGGCCTCAACACTGTGGGCCTGACATGAGGCAGAACATCATGTCAGGGAGGGTGTGACGGAGCAAAGCTGCTCATCTCATGGCAGTCAGAGAGAAAGAGGGAGAACGAGAAGGGGACAAGACATACCCTTCTAGGGCACATCCTCAGTGACCAACTTCTCTAACAGACCTCACCTCCTGAATTTCCATCACCTCCCAACAATCCATTTGACTATGAAACCGTCAATGAATTAATACATTGACAATATCAGAACCTATCATGATCCCACCACTTCCCCAAAACCCTACCTTTGAACACTGCTGCATTTGGGACCAGACCTTCAACACAGAAGCCGTTGGGGGTACATTCCAGATCCAATCCATAAAAATATCCTTTCTTCTACTTCCCCCTCACATTCCTCTGTTATTAACATTTTGTATTAATTTGCTACAATGGATAAACCAATATTGATGTAATATTAGTTAAAGTCCATAGTGTATAGCAGTGTTCACTCTTTGAGCTGTAAAGTCCTACAAGATTTTGACAACAAACGTCTCCACCGTTACAGTTTCATACAGACTGGTATCAGTCCCTATGTTCTACCTGCTCATCCCATCCTTCCTTCCTTCGCTACCATTGTTCTTTTCGCTCTCTCCAGTTTGCCTTTTCTGGAATGTCATGAAGTTGGAGTCATACAGTATATAGACAGGCCCCAACTTAACATAGTTTCACTTCGCAGTTTCTCAACATTATTGGGGTGCAGAATTGGTATACATGCAGTAGAGAGCGTACTTCAAATTTCAAAATTTTTTCCGGGGCTAGATATGTGGTACACCATTTCTTGTGATGATAAGCAGCAGCAATAAGCTGCAATTTCTGGTCCACCACGTGATGGGGAGAGTAAATAACCCATATCTAGGGTGTGGTGTTTGCTCAGCTATGATGTTCAGTAGGGGAAGGTAATATTAAGTGCATTCTTTTTTTAAAAATTTTTTTTAATATTTATTTTTTTTTAGTTTTCGGCAGACACAACATCTTTGTTTGTATGTGGTGCTGAGGATCGAACCCGGGCTGCACGCATGCCAGGCGAGTGTGCTACCGCTTGAGCCACATCCCCAGCCCTTAAGTGCATTCTTGACTTACACTATTTTCAACTTCTGATGAGTTCATTGGGATATAACCCCACAGATAGTCCAAAGAGCATGACCTTTTTAAACTGACTTTCTTCACCTAGCAATAAGTATGAAAGGCTACACCATGCTTTTGCCTGATAGTTCATTTCATGTTATAATTAAATCATATTCCATTGTATGGAGGTACCATGATTTTTTTATTCATTCACCAGTGAAGGACATCTTGGTTGCTGCCAAGATTTAAAAATTGTGAAAGAACTGCTAAAAACTTTCAAATGTAGGACTTTGTGTAGCTAAAAATTTTCACTTCATCTGGGTAAATATCAAGG